TCAAAACGCGTTCGGTGTGAACATAGCATTAGGGTTCAGGGTTTCTCCCAGAAAACTTGCTAAGACTAGCAGTAATGTTTTTAATGCCTCTGGGGTTGTTGGAGCAATACCGTAACATTTTTACAGATGAGCGGGTTGAGAGGATTGGTAGCAGAATGACACAGTTTCTATTAAAGCAGCAAGGTGTTACATAGCTAAAGCGAGTAAGGCTTGGCGGTCTGCAAAAGCTATAACACAGCTGTCGTGTGACCTTGCACCATGGGCTCACATGATAATGTGCCACAAACAAAAGTATATCATCATCCCATGGCACTAGTTGCAGTAAATGCAAAGTGGCAAATAAGTGTTGACATTTATTTTTTAATTACTTGAACACTAGGGCTGTGTATTGGCAAGAATTTGGCGATACGATACATATCATAACAGAGGGGTCACGATACGATATACCCCGACATATCCCGAAATATTGCGATACTGTAAGCAAGGCAATATATTGCGATATATTGCAATGTTTTTGTCCAAAAATTCTATTAAATAAAAACCTCTTACTGAAAAAAGAAAGAAAAGCTAATGTTTACTTACAATGCTAATGCTACCCTTATTCTCTGGCGCTCAAGAGGTAGAGGAGCCAAATGTCTGGCTCACTGCTGCCAACTAGTGGTCAGAGGCTGAACTACAACATAAAAATGAACGGTTGGCAAGAAGGTTGACATTTTAAACCTTAATAAAAAAATCGATACAGGGCTTTAGAATATCGATACAGTATCTGGAAATGAAATATCGCGATATTTCAGTGTATCGATATTTTCTTACATGCATATTGAACACTATACAATTTTACTCAACCCTAATTTATGGGCCAACATTTCAGAAGTTTAGCTTTCAGCTAGGGCTGGGCAATACGGCCCCAAAAAAAATCTCAGATTTTTTTCATCCTATTTTTATTTTAATCAATTTTGTTTCTGACTTAACGGAGTGCCTCTGTTTCAGGTGTCGAAACAAATTTGTTGTACTCCTGCTTTTTGTAGCAAGAGCTTTCAAACAGATTTTGCAGTGAGGTGTTTGTTGTTGTAGTTGAGGTTGTAAAACCTAACCAGTTCCAGAAAACTGAAGAAACACTGTCTTTTTTGAGAAGTAGATCCTCTTTGCTATATTGTCATGTCGTGTACCAGGCATCTTGAGGGACAGGTGGGGTGACCTCTGAACTATAGAAGCCCTGAAGAGTGCAGTGGTGGGAAAAAAAATCTCTATTTTCCCCAAATTAAGTCTTTATAAATGGCAAATTCGAATTAATCGATTAAATCGATTTATCGCCCAACCCTACTTTCAGCTATAACCTTTCCAATAGAGATACAACCAACTATAGGAGCTGAATCGCGGGCAGTAACGAGACATTTGTAGTTTTATTTCTTTTATTCCTCATATAATCTTTATTTTTTTTCATATTTAAATCACTCCCGCTTTGCTTTCTCACGGAAAACAGGCGGAGTTGTGGAGTACAGAAGCTCACAGTGAAAGGGGGAGGGGGGTTTCCGCTTAACAAACACATGGTTCCACCCATGTGATGGGATTACGTCATTACGTACGGCTACATGATGACGTATTTCCCTGCGTGATGACGTAGTACGTTCAAAATTGAATGGCTCTATGAAACAAACGCCTCCCCAAGATCCGGATCCCTTCAAAGAGCCATTTATCCCATCTCTACTTTTCAATTTCAGAGTTACCAGAGAAAAGAATGTGTGACGAAACCATAAATTCTCTAAAAGTCTGCAAACCATCTTAAAAGCTATAATCTTTGTGCACTTTTGGTCACTTTGCTGTGTACTGTGCAACTTTTAAAAACCTACTAGATGCTTAAATCAAGACCTATCAGTCGTGCCAGAGGAGAGGTTGTGTCGCCAGTATGTGTTGCTAATCCATTTTTTTAACATAAATCCTCAAACTCATTCATAGTCCATCACACACAGAGCCTAATGAGGGATTAGCTAATGAATTCTCTCAACAGATTAATTACATTTTACAGACTCCCTCCCCAAACAGCTAAAGAAATGAGCCCGTACTTTCAAAAAGGGTGGATTTTTTTCTTTAATCTATCACTAAATTGAAATCTGTGGAACCAGATCGGCTTCGGGCAAAAGGATGCTTGATTTGAGGAGAAGACATAAAAATGGATCTGAAGAACTGCAGACCGGGGCATTACTTTTAACGAGAAAATAAATAAAGCGGGCCTTTGATTTGGCGCCATTTTACATGGCACGAGTGGAACGAGGAGGCATTTTCACATGAATCTAAATGAGAGGCAAACATTTCAGATGCTCGTCTTTGTACCACTGTTCTCCGGAGGGCTTAAAAGCATCGTCCTGCCTCCGTCTCTTTAAGTGACAGCAAAGCACAAGAGCTGACACACACATCTGAAACACACACACACACAAAGCATGTCAAACACACACAGTGATTCACACACGCACGCTCTCCCTCCTGCCGTTTTCACAGTCTCTTGAGTGGAGGAGAAGCCCACGGCCAAAACCCAATGTTTTCTTGATTCCCCATTCTCTCCTCCTTCTCACTATCATTTCGCTCCTCTCGCCTTTTCCCATTAAAACACCCAGTTTTATTTCATCTTCTAAATGGAGCGGAAAAGTAATTATAATTAAACCAACTTGGTTCTAATGTTCAAAACACTAAAATAATTTACAAGTATAATTAAACCAGTTCAGATGTCGTGTTCAGTGCGAGCTGCAGCCTTTCTAATTCATCTCGACGCTGATGGAAAACAATTATTTCACTTCAATAAGATTAAAAAACGGCTCGAATCTGTGTCACAACTCGATCAGAGAGGAGACGGATTTAGAAAGTTGTCAAATTAACATAAACTCAGCTACTGACTTTGTAAAGACGGCAAGACACGAGCTTGTTTGCATTTATTACGCCGACTTTGGCGATTAGCAAAACAGCACGATAAGAAGAACAAAGGGAGTGGGAGATTTGTACAAACGCTTTAAATTATGGTTAGACTTTCTAATTGGGAAACTGAAATTGATTTGAAAAAACTAATTTTGAGAAAAGATGTTTTAGCACAAGATACTTTTCACATCTTGCCAATGATGTTTCTTGTGCAAAACTAACTGATGCACCTCTTTTGTTGCATTACGGAGATTTAATTCACTAATTAACACTTTTCCCAAAGTGCCAGTTTGAACTAATCATTTTCCTGTTAACACAATTTGTCCCGTAGATTAACATTTTTTAAAATATGGAGTAAAATTGGCAGATTTGATCAATCTAATACCTTTTATTTGTGTGATGAAACAAATAGTGTTCTAGGATGTCACCTGCAACACTTCCAAAAAGGCAGTAAAACAAAAAAAAAAAACATTTATATGTGATCACATTAATGTATTTGCTTATTTAAATGTGGGCATCAACACATCCTTTAATACCAACTGTTTGTACTCTGGACAAATAAATTATTTTCCACCTTCTGTTGGGAGTAAAGCAGGATCTGCTCACTTGTATTTACTTGCAAACTAACAGCAGTCACATACCTAAAGAGGCCTCAAAGACATTCCACACATTTGTTACCCTGAGGTAACAAATGGCCTCGAGAGGAGGGGTCGGGGGTAGTTGTGGGCTTTATAGGGTGGGGTGGAGGGTGGCAATAAAGCAGAAAAAGTTAACGCAGTGAATACTGGAGCAGAAAATGAACGCGGGTTTTGCAGAGTGGCCACTTCAAGGACTTAACTGGAGCGTGACGCGTCCTTTTATGGTGTCAGGGAGGTTTTGGAGGTCAGCTGGCAGACATTTGAAGGTCTTCCTCTGTGTGTGTGAACCAGATTTGGGAGAACTACAGCTGGACGCGGAAACGAAAGGCGCAGCGCAGGGTGGAGATCGTGCCAAAAAAGACGCGCAAGCGGAGCGACGCGCGGAGAAAACTTCAGCTCTGTCTGTGGAAAGCTTTGTCCCGGACAGGACCACCTGCATGTCGGAGTGCAGACTCCTGAAAATTATCACTTTTTGGTGTCTTCGTGAAAAAGACAAGCTAGCAAAGAAATGCGCTCGTGTGCTCCGTGCGTAACGGGAAAACCCGAGGACTTAATGGCAAGGAACGCGAGTCCGAGCGCACGGCTTGTACCCAAAAATGACCCAAACACGAACATTTTAGTGCCTTAAATAGAAAACTAAAGAATTTCATCACCTACTCTTTATTCTCCACAAGTTAAGCATACAAAATAAAAAATAAATCAGCAGCGTAATCCTTTCGGTTCCGCTTTGATCCAACGGAGCGCGGACAGACTGGAGCAGAGGAGGTGAAATAAAGGAGGAACAGAAGTGAAACAGCATCAGATGCAGGACTGCTGTAAAAACACATCAAGTTACTGACATACGACACGAAAAATTACAGTTAAAACTGGGATTTCTGCGCACTCAGCAACTTTTAGTGTCCATTCACGCGCTGCGCGATGCGGATCAAACCGATCATATTCAGCTGAGAAATGATCCGGTTCAAGCTGTTGACTTTAGAAATACATTTTTTTTAGATATAAATACTAATATTTTGTATTTTGCAAATTAACTCCTCGTTTTAAAGTGTTTGGGTGTGATTAGGATAATATGACTCAACTTAGTGTGGTTCGTTTTATTAAAGGGAGCTGTGACTCACCGGTTTCAGGTGAGCTCCGTTTTAGTCACAAACACGGATTCAAACAAGTGCGGAGAACCTCATCCGGGTTTTACACGAAACATGAACATTTATCTAACCATGACAAAAATAAAAAATAAAAAAAAATCATTGCAAAGCGTCACTATCACACTGGACGTGGTTTAAAACACACAGGAGGACAAACCGGCGTGACGCGACCTTTTCAAACAAAGCCAACTTTTGCTCAACACCTCCGCTCACCTGTCAGGTGTTGTCCACGAAACGACATTGTAAAAAACTTTCCTGCAAACACATAAAAAAGCGCTCCGAAGTGCTGTGCTCGTGTCTTTGCGCTTACCTGTCGGTAACTGTCCGCAAACAACTCTCGAAAAGAGGAAAAAGAGTCCCAGCGTTCCAGAGAAAAGTGTATCCCCCATGATGGCCGCGCGCGACTCTCCGCTCAGCCTGGGAAAAAGTTTTCTCGCTCCGAGATTCTTCTTCCTGTTTTAATTCACGTGTTTCGGTCTTCGCTGTGTTTTATTATTCCTCCTCTGGTCGCGGATTCAGCGGCTCCATTTCTCTCTCCTTTCTTCGCTTTTCGCTTCCTGCGGACACTAGTTTCAAACCGAGCCAGTGAGGGAGCGCGAGACGGAGTGAGCGAGAGGAGGGGGCGGGGTGTCAGAGAACCAGGGGGTGTGACGTAACGT